CCAGCGTATCCACACATGTTGTCGCTGCTGCAGTATATGCTCCTGCTACCCTGTAAGTGTCACAGCCACTGGCATGGATCTGCAACTAATTTAATTTCTGTTTGCAGACACGGGCCACTGCACCGAGCATTGGCAGCTGATTGATCGCGTGGTCCAGCAGATTGTGCTGCAAGTGGCGCAACGACCCAGCAGCGACCTCATACCCGATCCCCTGGATGATCCCGGCCAGCAGCTGAAGCGAGTCGCCAGTCCATGATCCGGATGTGGCACCCCTGCAGATCGATGTGGGCAGGCCCTGACGCAGGCGCGCAAGCGGGCGGATGAGCTGGAGCGCGAGAACTTTGAGGTGCAGTCGCGTCTGGCCAAAAAGGAGCAGGAACTCGATCTGTGAATGCAGGAGAAGGAGGATCTGGAGACGGGACTGACAGCACTCGCACGCCGTGCAGCGCTCCCAGAGTGCCGAGATGAAGGCGGAGGATCTGCAGCGTCGACTGCACAGCGAGCAGCAGGAGCAAGCGCCGGTCAGACCGGCTACCTTTTGGTCATCGGGTATGCTGCAATGGTGCTGTGTCGCCGCCATCACCGCCGCCGCCGATGTTGAATGCCGAAGAAGAACGTGCCACAGCCCACGAATCCCTTGAAGAGCTTCAACTGGTCCAAGCTGCCAGATGCCAAGCTGCAGGGCACCGTCTGGAGCGAACTGGACGAGAGCAAGCTGTACAACAACATGGAACTGGAGTCGATAGACAAACTGTTTTCGGCCTACCAAAAGAATGGAGTGCCAGTAAGAGTCCTCCTACTGCTTCGCGTTCGCTTCTGCCGCAGCTCTAATTATGTTCTTACCCCTGATAGGCACACGATGGCTCCTACGAGGATCTAGCACCCACTGGACAGAAGAACAAACAGAAGGTGCTCTCCATGATCGATGGACGACGAGCCCAAACCTGCACGATTCTCTTGAGCAAACTGAAGATGAGCGATGTGGAAATATCCAAGTAGGAAGAACGAACCCAAACTAAGCCCAAAGCCTGACTAATCGTT